TGCTTATTCAGATCTCTCGCTGGAGTCAGAAATGAGCATATGGAAATCAGCACGCCTCTATGAACAACTGGCAGCATCCCAACAACACAGTGGACTTGTGCCTTTCCACCCAGGCGCAATGCTGAATTGTGCCTTGAATGGCGGATGCAATTGTCTTGCAATTAGGCCCTGAAACTGTCACAAAAACCCTGCACTCTGGATTCTGCTTGTCGGTAACCCCAGCAGAGCCAGGAGCATTCTTAGGCTCAATAGATTTTCTTCTTCCCATTGCACTTGTGAAACAGGCTTTTCAGCACCCGCATACTTTGTAAACAAATCCCATCCCTTTCATTGGCACAGACAATCCCCATCTTCCCTAAGCCATGCTGAGCCACCTAGATCCCAGGGCTCGCACAGAAAGGATATTGCAGAGAAAAGATATTTTAGTCACTCTTATTGAAGTGAAAACTAGAAATAAACTTACAAAAGCAAACTATGCACACAAACCACCTAAAACTGGGACATCAACCTCACTAGGTTGTGGGCTGGATGTGGATGGCGAAGTTTGTCATGGGCCAGATCCAGACCCAGGTGTGAGGGCTACCACAATGGTGGCGCCAGTGGCACAGAGTCCAAGGCAGCAAGTCCAGGAGCGGCAGTAGCAAGCCAAACTCACCACTGATGGCCATGCCCAGAGGGTCCAAAGGGCTTTGGATTCAGCAACAGGCTATGACCCTCAACTTCTGGTGGTCCACCTGTAGCCCAGACAACCAGATAAGAGGGCCACATGTTTGATACACCTGAACTAAAAGAACAGGACAAATGCCACATGGGCCATGAGTATTAGCTGTCTAGTTGCGTGAGATATGTCCAGTCTTGGGCTGAGCAACGTTTAGCAATTCAGCAGGCCAAGAATTCTGTGGCAGCTTCTTTTTACATTAAGGCATTGGCTTGTTAACAAATTAATTAGCTGTCAACATCATCAATGCATTCAGCCCATCTCTGCAGAAGCTCAACTGCACTTACCTGCTGCCTCTTCTCATGTTTGTTTTTCAAGCTGCTCTTGTATAACCCCTCACCACTGCACTGAGAGATCTGTCAGGGTAGATGCTGGTGTTTTTGGCACACTGGAGATGTGAAGGCAGTCTAGGACTAAGGTGTAGGAACACTGGCTGGATGCCTGCACTTCAGTGAAACAACTGTTCTCAGGATATTTTGCAGTTAACACCCATTACTAGGAATGGAGCTAGTCACCCCTCCAAGGTCTTGTTTCCCAGTTTGCAGGCAACTTGAAGGTACTGCTGCATTATTTGCATTCTGTTCGGATTTCAAGGTTTTCTTTTGCAAACATGTGACTATAAATACAGGGTCAGATTTTCAGCACAGAACAAGGGGCCAACAGAGGTCTGGATATAGCCCTCAATTACAGTGCAGTAGCTTCTACTCTGGGGTAAGAGAGTGGGAGGAATCTATCATTTTGGACAGCAGACTAGGTTCTAAGTAACAATAAACCAGTGAAGGAGCAGAGCCCAGCCAGGCTTTGCTCTCTTGGATCTCTTCTGTTCCCATTCATTTCATTTTTCTATCCCCTCCAAGTTTTGATCACTTCTTGCTATTGTTCCCTGAACACACAACTCCTGGTTGCCCTGCCCCCTTGGAACTACCTTGCATTAAGGGTGCTGGCCAGGTGTCTTTCGCTGCTGGGATTGTCTGGGCTTAAGTGTTTTGTTATTTTCTTCTACTTAGTTCCCCTTCACTTCACCACACCAGCCTCACTGATATGCACCCTGCTCAAGCCAAGACCTGCCCCCACCTTCATTTTCTCAACAGATGCTGCTTAGTGGTGGTTCAGTTGTACCCACTGCTGACACCTGCTGGCAATTAACAGGTAACTATGGCAGAGCAAACAAACCCACAACTGGCAAGAAGGCCAGGCCTTCCACTTAGCAAGGGGTATTCAGGATTTAGTCTGAAGTTAGGAGGAATGCAGAGCAGGGTGGCACCTTACAGACTGTCAGTAACTTTGAGAGGCAGGAGCTTTCGCAGGCTACAGTCTTCTTATCAGATGCCATGTAGGGACTCTCACAGCATTTAATGAAGTAGGCTATGTCCCATGAATGCTCTTGCCACTATCAGCAAGTTAGTGTATAACAGTGGAGGCCAACCTTTTTGGCAGGCATGTCATAAAGTAACCCCTATGCCCTCAAGTGCCACTCTGATCCCTTTCCCCTGCCCAATCTGTTGCTTTGCTTTCTGCCCTATGTTGCAGCATTCCCTGCTCCCTCCCTGATTTGCTGCGTACCAAAGGCTATCTGTGCCATTTATGGCACATGGGCCACAGGTTGGCCACCCCTGATATATAAGGTGCACCCCTGCCCCGCCTTCTATTTAGCAAGGGTATTCAACAAAGGTACATCATATCCTACCAGAACAAGTGACATTTCTCTTCCCTGCAGCCAGCTTCTAGAAAATGCTCCTTGTGATCCCATCATTACAATCCAATGTTGCCACAAAACCCTTGGCAAAACTCTTGGCTTTTGCTTTTTTTTTTTTTTTTTTTTTAACATGTTCCCAGTGTTGTCACCGAGTTAATATGTAACAAGCACCGGCACCTCTGAAAAAGTGTGAAGGTGAGAGGGGCTCAGAGAACTGCATCATCAACACTTTCACAGGGTTCTCACGAAAACACTATGTGTTGATTAGCAGAATTTAAAAGAACTTGTGCTCATGTGGAAGAATAAGGCAAGAAGAATTTGTGCATAAAACAGCTCAGCCTGGAGGTAATGCAAGATTATTACAAAGTATGGGGCAGAAAAGCCTACCGGAAGCTGCTAAATTCAAACCCAAAGGAGGAAGAGGCCCAAAAAACACCAAGAAGATTTGCTCAGGTCTGGTTCTCAGGTCTTTACCCTGTCACCATTTGAAATCAGCCACCTCCTTGTTGTCAGGGCAATCAGCTTTCTAGTTTGTCCCACCCAACGTCATGTTTTCCTTGCTTTAGCTCAGTCACTTAGCCAAAACCACATATGGCAACTCCATTCCCATGAGTACCAACAGCAGTAGTAGAGGGCAAAGCAGAGAATGAGGGTGTAGTTCTCTTCAAAGAAAAAAAAAAGCAAGCACCTAAGACTTGGGGTTAGGAACCAGAGTGTATGCAGAAGGTCACCTGCCCCAATTTGAAGATCAGTAACATATACAGCTCTTGGCCTCTGAGCACCTCCTCTGTTCTCTGCTCTCAAAAATAAGCTTGTCTTCAGCCTGCCCAGAAAACAAACACATTCAAGAGGATTTACTGGATCTATGTACTTGAGATGCATCCAAGACTGCTTACAGAGCGCTGAAGTCCTAGCATGGGGAGGGCAATCAGGGTTCTATGGGGCTCAAAAAAGGCTTGGGGCTTTCAGTATGTTTCTACTGAGCTATACAAAAGCTTGCCAGAGGGCTGGCTAAGTTCCCAACCTCTGGAAAAATCAGCCAACCACACTTTGCTAGTGGGGAGGGTCTGATCCCACCGGGCTCCAGGTAACAGCTTGCCCACATTTTGCATTAACAGGAGATGCTGTGCTACACCTGCCTGGAAACAGTGCATGAAAAAGGCTTGATTTAGTGGGAGGTATGTACAAAGGAAGACGGTTACATTAATCCACTACTGTTTGCTCTTTCCCTTTGCCGTAGGAGGCTTGCGTGCACAGATGCCATCGGTCTGCATCTAAATGAGACTTGTCTAACTGCTGACGGCTGAAACCTTTGTGAAAAATGAGAAATGAGGGCCTTGGACAACATAGGTCCCTAATGAGGAACCAGTAAAGTCTGACTTGCTGCAGTCTCTCAAAGATCATCAAAGGGAAAGCTGCTAAGATAATGTGAGAGATTTGATTTTCTGAGAGGACAGGGAGAAAATGCTATTGACAGATGCATAGATCTATCCTAGCAGGATGGCTCAAGATTGGGGAACAAGCTATGCGCAGGCTGGTTGGAAGCAGCAAGTGGACACACAACACTGAGGCAGCAATGTTGCCCAGCTCATGCTAACTGCCAGCCTAGAGGCAGGCATGGACTCAGCCTGGCAGAAGCAGACTAGTGAAGCAGCAGAACTTCCTCATGTGTTGATCCACCAGTATAGAGGCAAAAGACACATATGGGTCAACCAGAGTAGAAAGCACGAACACAAGGTAGTGCATAACTTACTACATAACCAACACACCACGGCAGGTAAGCGCCTCACACCATACCTGTGTGAGGAGGATTAATACTCAGATGGGGAACCTCATGGGGGAAAAAAGCTGACAGGAAGTGACAGGTGCTGGGGCTTTGTCACTGCCCAAGTCAGTCCTGCACCCTGAGCCCCAGCATGATGTGAAGGGGGCATTGTGCAGCTTCAAATACCATTTTTATGGATGAGCTGTAGAGCAAGGCTCTAGCATTCCCAACTACTCAAATCACAAAGCATGCTGGCCACCAGGAAGAAAATTTGCCCTTGAGATGTGGGCAAAGCTTCCACCCTTCCCTGAATTCCCTCCTACAGCCCTGAATGGCTACTTTCTGTCCATCCCAATCTCTTGGTCACAGAGCACTATGGACACTGTTCAGCAGCCACTGCCTTTCTCTACAGGGTTGGCTCCATTTCAGAAGAGAGGAAGTAGCTGCTAGCTATGTCGTCTGTCTGAAGTGCTTTGGGGCTCCCAAAGCACACATTATTTCAATAGAATGCAAGAAAATAAAACATTAGGCAAAGCTGTGAACAGTTTATATCTCCCCCCCACTCCAGCCCCCTGAAAAAGGAACGAGAGATACAGCTGCTATCTTACTGCAACACATAAAGAAAGGAGAATTTAATTCAGAAGACTTCCTTACATACTGGTATTTAAAGAACAAGTGCTAGGGCTTTCCAATGAGGTGTTCCAATTTAAAGAACAAATGAGGCTTTCCAATGAGGCCTCAGAAACTGCTTTTTTTTTCCCCCCCTAAAGAACGTGTCTGGGGGAGTCCTAAATGATACACAGCCTTTTATTCCAGTTCTGAGGGACGGGAGAGACAGAGGACTCCTACTTCAACAGGTTACCAGCTATATACCAGATTACAGAACAGAAGAGGTTGCACTCACCAGAGTAACAGCCTTGACTTTTGAGAGCAAGTTTGTGTAGGCACTTCAGAAACGAAGCTCAGCTTCAAAATACAAGCACTGACCACTTTGGCTTAGATTTTTAATATAAAAACAATGTACAAAAAGGCTAAAATGTGACAAACCACTGGAAATACTGTGATTAACATTCTTCCTTACACAGAAAACCCCCCCCTAAAACAACCCCCCCACCCCCCGAAATGATAAGAAGCATTGAAATGTACGTTTTCTCCCCACCCCAAACATCCACGCACACACACCAAATCGTTATATACTCAAAATGCTTGGTTACAAAAAGGCATGGCATCTTCGCTAGGAACTTCAGTGCAACAGGGCTATTCTCGATGGACCAGCACAAATAAACCCAGTAAAAAGAGAACTGCATACTGCAAAAGAAACAAGCAGAAGAGAGTCAGAATGTGCATTCAGATTCTGCAGGAACAGTAACAAATGTACACAGAACAGACACTAAATACAGGTGAGCTCAAACCAACAAGACCATTTTTAGCAAGGAGAGTAATGAAAGGGCAGACGTACCTTAAATTTGGGGTAGTCGTTCATTAAGATTGTCACAATTCCAATGTAGGGCACAAATCTAAGGAAGAAAAGAATTTGCTCACTGAAGACAATTTTTAGGCTAAGTTTTGCCCCTGGACATACATAACAAGCATCTAGGAGTCCTCCATCAACCCCCTTATTGTGTCCGAGTGGCCAGCCCCAGCTGCTTTGGCAGATGGAGCAAGAAACCCTGCAGCAGGCAGTGATAACTAGATAAGATGTTCTAAAGGAGATTTACTTCTACTCCTCATTGGGCAGACTGGGCAAAGCTCTGAAATATGCTGCTTTCTAGGGCTACACAAAATTTTGGCAGCCGTTTCATTTCGGAGGTATTTCAGCCTGTTTTGGCACCCGAAACACTGAATCCAAAATGAAACAGAAGGCTCTGAAACATCTCCGAAACAAAACCATCCAAAACATTTTAAAGTTTCAGAGCTGGGCTTGCAGAGAAACAGAAAGTAAGGAGAGGGAGGGGGAAGGACTGCTCTGATACTGACATCTGTAGCTGGCCAGCGTCTGTGATCTGTCCCTGAGGTCCCTTCCAATCCAGTGCTCTGGGGGAGGGATGGCAGCCTGCTGTCATCCTGCATGCAGATCCGGGGGCCTGCACCCCCCAGAAGGAGTCTGGCACAGCCCTGCAGTCTCCCCAGGGGGTGCAGGCCCCCAGATCTGCGCACGGGATGACAGCAGGCAGCTGCTGCTGCAGGCAAGTGATACAAGTTTTGCTTTGAACACAGTTTGAGGTGCAGTGTCACAGAAACCCCTGCACCTATCTCCTTGAAACTTGGCAGGCTTCATGCCCTCAGAAGGGGCTACCGTCCCTGCAATTTTCATCTACATCAGGCAAGAAATAACAAAGTTATAGGCATTTTAGTGATTCCCTATTGTAGCCTACGGCCAAATAACCAAAACAGCGTTGAAACTCCGAAACAGATTCAGACAAATCGAAACGGAACAGCGATCCAAAACACCAAAACAAATCACTGTCTCTCTGAAACAGCCAAATCCAAAACAGAATCGAAACATAGCTGTTTCGCACAGCCCTACCTTCTCCCATCTCATTCCCAAAGGACTCCTCTGGAGTCCTTTACACCTAGCACCAGGACAAATCTTTTTTAATCCTATGAGCTTTCCACCTCACTGACATCTCGGGGCAGTAAATGTCACAGGTTAATTAGGTACTGTGTTTTACTAGGCATTTCAGTGCCAGGTTTGCTGTCTTTCAATTCATTCAACATATCTCCATGCTCCTGTATCCAGAAAGCATGAAGATACAATAAATGAGGTGCAACTTTGCAACTTCCCCTAATGGTCTCATCATGACCCATACTCGCTCCTCTGGGATAACTCTTCCCAATCTCAATTCACAATATGGGCTTTTCCAGGTTTCCAACCTTTATGTCTGCATTGTAAGCATCTGAGATCTACTGCATAGATGGGCCAGTAATCCAGGACAAACAAACCACTGATCATAAAGTGAAAACACCTTAACGCATTTAATTCTTAACTCCATCCCATATGTACCGTAACAGGTTTGATTTTCTGAATGTTGCTATATATGAAGCCTGGACCTTCATGAAGCTGCCCACTTGTAATGTACATAAATCCTTACTTTAAAACAGCGACTCTCAACCTTTTTAGGTTCAAGGCACCCGTCCTTAGACTCGAGGCACCCCTTGGAAAATACTAGCTCCTAGTTTTCGCTTGTTTTTTCAACTATGGAAAAATAATAAAGCAGTTTTTCTGTTGCAAAAAACTCAGAAAGACCACACCAGGTCAGAATGTTTTTAACACTATGGATACCTAATTGAAATCTCTGGGTTTATGTTGTGAACCATGTTTGCCCACTTAACAGTGCTAACATTGTGTGGCATCCCACTGCATCCTTGAAAGGATCTGCAGGCACACCAGGGTGTTGAAGAGAATCACTGCTTTAGGTGGTGTTGTAGAACCAAATTGAAAACTAGTCCCCATCAAGCACAGTACTTTGCCACTATTCCTATTTTGTCCATCCATTCAGATTAGTCAAAACTCATGTCAGCAGGACAGATGCAACCAAATAATGTCATCTATAAGCTGTCACTTCATTGCTTATCACGTACATAACTATGTACATGTGTTCCTGGATAATACAGTTCCTAGAAGAAACAGTTCAAAACAAAACATTGGTGTGGTGCCCATCAAATTAGTTCTACCTGAAACAAACAAGTTTGTGATGGCAAGTGACAGTTAGCACTCTTCTTGCAACAAAGAATGAGTTCCAGCTATAAAGGAAAGCACTGCTATGAAATCTCAGGATATCTGGATTCCACTTAGATTTTAAAGCAGAAGCAGAGGCAACCTTTGCTTGTTTGGGTATGCCTGCAAAATTGACTTTTCAACCTCACTTCCCAACTGAGTTCACTCTACAATGTACAGGCCTGAAGATTACCATGTGTACTAGTAAAGCAATTCAGTGGAAAACATCCAAATTGACTAGATGCTTTATAAAACAAAAGGCATGCTTAGGTCATCTCCAGGTTGCAGGTGCAGGGAAATCAGAGGCCAGAATATAAGAGGGTCCTTGAATAGCTTGAAAATTAGAAATTGTCCTTTCAATATTAGTACAAATAAGGCAGGTTCTAAGAATGCTAGCTTCCAGTCTGCCAGGCAGCAAACAGTACATTCAGGGCAAATTTAGCACTTATGTTTCTGATGAAGACACTATAAACACTAGGAAATGGGAAGTATTACTCCATCATATAGACCTGACAAGCTGAAGCACCAAAGTCACATGAACAGATTTGAGTTGCAGAGCTAGCAATTTTCAGATCAGGTCATTGTGCCCAAGTCCCCAGTACTAAAACATTTAATCTGATCTTCAACAATGTCTGTATAGCCAGTCAAAAGACAATCTGTCTTTTGGATGATTTTCAGTCAAGTGCTACTACTTTACTGGTCACCTCCCTGAGATTTTTTCCTTACAAGCTTGTGCATCTACTTGATTCCATAGGGTGAACTAAAAAGTGCTTTCTGTGGTCATTACTGAGAGCGCTGAGTTCGCTATTCCCTAGTTTTGCCATGATCTTTGTGGGACTCAATACCTTCAATTAAGGTACAGAGCACAATAAAAATTTCTGAATCTTGGAAGGAAGGACATCTTGGGTGGTTAAACATGGGAACAAGTTGTGCAGAGAGGCTGCAGAATCTCCATCTTCGGAGAGTAAGTGCAGGTTAGACAAAGTACTTGCCTGGCTTGCTTTAGATGCAGACAATCCTACTTTGAGCAAGGGGTTAAGTTAAACTACTGGTTCTCAATCTTTTCAGTCAGGGCAACCCTCCACAACTTCTGAATGTGGCAGTATCCCCAGTTCAGAACCACTGTTGTACTCAGCTTACCTCAGTGGTTCTCAACGAGGTACTAGTCAACAGTAAAACTGCCCCACACACCTGGGCCCACAGCCAGACCAGGAAAGGCTGTGGCACATGCATGCCCTCCTCCTGCATTAGGATTCTCTGATAACCCTAAAGCAGGAAGGAGAGCTGGCGTGTGCTGCAGCTCTACCCAGTCTGACCCTACACAGTGTCTCCCAAAACCATCAGCACACAGGATAGGTGGAACTGTCCCACATGCCTCTGTTTCCAGGAGAAGCGTGGTGGGTGGCAAACTGGGAAGAGCTGCATCCTGCACCAATTCTCATAACTGCTTTAAGATTATTGGACAATCCTAATGCAGGAGGAGCACATGTGCATGCTGCAGCCCTGTACAAGAGGCACCATCCACATCACAAAATCCCTGAGGGGGTCTTGTGGCACCCTGATTGAGAACCACTGAACTAGATAACCTCCTGAGGTCCCTTCCAATCCTACTTTTCTTTAATTAAATGTTCATTAAGCAGTAGAGTTAAAAAGGTGCTGTTCTAAGCATCCCAATGAAAAATCCCTTTGCTTCTCAACTTCTGCACTTCCAATGACTTTGCACTTGTGCCATAATTTCACTATTTCTCAAGTCACTGGAGCCTTTCCAGGCAGGCAAGACCTGAGTTTCTAATGTAAAAAACCTTGTCCACCCTTCATTATGCTTTGCAAAGCAGTGGAAGAGTACAAACCCATGGCAGACCAACTTTAAGCAGACTCTGTATGATCTTGTGGAAAGCTCATTCCCCTATACCAGGGAGACCTTGAAATGCAAGCTCTCTTCAGTCAAGCCAAGCTAAGAAGTGACCTGCCTTTGTTATAAAGATTCCCACAGAACCTCCTGAAATACTATTTCTATTAAAGTCCCCATACAATCATAGACTGGAACTGAAACAGTCCACATTTGCCTCTGTTAGATGACTTCACTCACCCTCTTGCTCTCCCAACAACATCTTTTTTCTCCAACCAATGTTGCCCTTGTTTGTACAGTCCTCTGTCATCAACAGCATTGTTGTCTCCTTTTGTCAAAAACTTGATGTCTCCACTTTGCCTGGCAAGGAAAGAAGGACATGAATCACAAAACTCGTACTACAAGATGTTCTAACCAAGCAAAGACTAACATTGGAATGGTTAAAGCAGACATGAGCAGTCACACTGACTGGAAAGTCCAGTCAATGGAGATGACCCGCTCTCCTCCCATAATGAAGACCAGAACAAGCTCCTGGCCCCAGCCAAATCCAACATGTGGATGTATTTTTGGCAGCAACTGGTAGAACATATTACTCATAGCAGGAGCACTTCTTATTCCCTTTGCTTCTACCCTTTCTGTCTCAATTGTCACATGCATCTTTCACACTTCTAGTGATGCATATTTCCAAGTAGTAGCCCACAGACAATACCACCAACTGGGGTTCAGCCTGCTCCTGTCACCCATGGAATGAAAGTAGCTCTTGTGCTTTGGTTCAATATTTCACAAGTTTCTCAGACTGTAGGGTTTACCCACAGGAGCAATGAGTTTAATCAACTACCTTCAGAAAAAGCACAAGGAGGACCTTCAGAGCCTGCATCATCTCCACCACACTTGAACCCAAGACCATTCAATTTATAGGCATGAAGAAGAACCCAAGATGAGAGCAGTACCAGCAACGCTGGAGCTGGCAATGAGCTTCTTGAGGGTTTAGTTATTTTTAAGTGTCCTAAGTACGTGCGCCATTGGAATAGATGAGAATATAGAAAACCTACCTCAGCAAACTTGCAGCTGGAACTCAGTAACAGGGGAAGACATCAAAAGCAGCGTACAATGTAGTTCTACTCTGAAAAGTGATTATGTGAGAGTAGCATCTCAACAAACCTGAACCTTTTAATAGGTACTAATCCAGGCAACTGATTAAGAGGGTCAAAAGCTGAGTCATCCCATGGCACGCAGGCAGGGAAATAGATTCTGTTCTGGCTCCGCATCACTGGAATTGCTAACTAAATTCCAGTTGAAGACTTTATTCCTGGTGATGAAGAATGAACCTATGTGGGCTCTCCAAGCCCAGATGACTCTGAAGGACAGGCAGGTAGAAAGTATTTTCACTGAAAAAAAATTGTTCTAGAGTCAGAGAGGTCACTAGGGAACCCACAGAAGCGATTACACTGTTCTTTTCCAAATAGAACTGCACATTCTGACTCCAGTAGACTACAATTTGATACTGAACCAGAAAGGAAATTGGAAGGGAAGACACTAGACAACTTCACTGTTGGATAGGGAATAGCTGGGAGTTTTGGTACCTCGGGAGGAATGGCAAGCAATAAATATCGGAGAAACTCTTTAAGATTCTAGGATAAAATACTAGCAATTTGCTAGTGACAAAGGAAGAAACAAAGTCTTCACTGGTTCAGCAGGTCTGCTCTGGTTCAAAGGGATCATGTTTTTCAGGGTTAACTACCGCCAAAGGATTAAATGTTAACTTTAAATGAAACCCATACTTCTGGAGAAAGGCTGGGATTCCATAAAACCCAGGGTCTGAGTTAGAACCAATTCACCCTCAAACAACACAAGGCTCCCCTTAGTCTTTAAAAATGTTTAGTCTTGGGATAAAGCCAAGCATAGCAAGTTTGAGAAGACTGAGAGTGAAAAAACGAAGGGTTAGTATAGAATCCATCCCTCAGCCTAGGCTTTTAAGTTGATACCTGCACCAGCTGAGAGGATAATCTTACAGGATTTTCCTTTTCTAGTAACTTAACAGGAAGTGCAAAAATCCAGCTCAGACATCAGGACACAGTAACAAAAAGATAAAATATTAAAACAGCATTTTACACAGGGGAGTTTTGCAGATGAGCCAAGTCTTAAAACGTCATACATGATATATAAGAATCCTCAAAACTCCCATCTACCCCAATCTTGTTTTTAAATTCAGAGGGTTAGAGTGAAACTTTACTCTGAAAAGCTACTAAATTCTGGGCTAGAATTAATTTCTTGTAGTGTAAGGTTGCTGTATTAAATTAATAAGAGCAACAGAGATGCCTTTTATTAACTTAGTACATATGGACATGAGAGCTAAAAGCTAGACACACAGAATATCTGGTCCGACTCCAGCTGACTTTCTGCCCCTGGGGCAGGGGGCTGGACCCAATGATCTCACGAGGTCCCTTCCAGCCCTAATGTCTATGAAATCTAGTTGCCTGAAACCAACATTGAACAAGATAGAGGTCATACTGGCAAGGAAGGAAGCACTGCACATAACTCATCATACCTGCAAAAATCACTCTCCACTGAAGGAATCAACTCTCCAGCTATTAAGATAATTCATGGCTTTGGGCACAGGGGGTGATTCTAAACTATGCAACTTCTAAGTACACACAATGCTATGGGTACTAGAAGTATTGTGGGGATAGCTTATGGTGAAAATGTTTCCATATTCTAGCAAGCTAACTGGGCCACAGTAATCCTGAACATGAGATTTCTATACTCTCTTATGGAGGAATGAACCTATCAGTCCTGGTAAAGCTCCAGTTAATTGAGAATTCAGTAGTCACCTACTCAGCAACTCAGGCACCTACTCAGTTAGTAGGAGCTCAACATCCCTGTGCATCATTCTGTTGTGGCTCATGGAACAAAGACTCAGTAATTTAGTTCTCACTCAATTCCCTTTATAGCACTGGCCCAAGTTCCCCAAAGAACAGCCTTGCCCCCAGGCACAGCTCCAGTCATTTTTTACTGGAACAATGGAAGAAGGAGCCCCATGAGTAGTTTTCTTGGCAACTGTTCCTCAGTGCTGGCTCTCTGTCTACAAACTAAGCAGAATCACCAAGAGCCTCACTCCCTTCAAAACAAAATGCAAAACTTGCTTTTGGCTAAAGGTTTTAAGTACAAGTTATACATAAAGTTAATCAGGCATTTGTAAGGCAGATTTTACCCTGTCTCAGAAAATGGGGGGAAAATGGTAATATAAAGGAAAAAATAAAACTTTAAATTAACACACTAAACACACAAAGTGCCTTTCACCCTTAAGGACCTTTTCACTCAATATATATAGGAGTAATTTCCCTTGCCACTCTTATACAAATCACACCTGGGGAAGAACAAAGCAGCAGTGTAAAAGCACAGCTATATTACTCTGCAGTTTGGGACAGAAAATTAACACTGCACGAATGTTGTGGGAGGTATTATGGGTAGCACAACTCTGCATGGTTTGTCAGGACACCTGAGATGACTCCCCAGCCGGTGGTAACGATCTGTCAGTGATTTTTATTTCAAGTTGTCTGGACCTGGTGGAAAGTGATCTGGGCAAAGGTCCCTTCCAGCTCCCTGACACCCTGCCAGAACACTTGGTAAGCACCTTTACCGTGGCTTCCTGCAGTACTGGATTTCCCCTGGGGGTTTCCCTTCTGAGACCATACCATCTTGTGGGATAAGCAAAGCCCAAGGCAATATGGTGCAGATATCTGTAATACAGCCACCTGGGTTTTAGACATACTTTTCATGAATTTTCAATACTCGATGAACTATTGGAATTTCCCTTCCTTCTATCCTAAAGACGACAATTTCTCCCACCCTGATGGGATCTTCAATTCGGTTGGTTAAAAACAAGAGATCTCCTCTGTGAAATGCTGGTTCCATGCTGCCACTGAAAAACACAACAAACAACATTTGGATGTTTATCAATCAGCATTTGAAAGTTTCATTCTTCCAAGTAAACCCCAGGATACCCTTAGCAAAAGAGGCCTTGAGGCAAGCACAGGGAATTGGTATCTCATCTATGTTATATATCGTTATTTTATTCCTACACTGTCATTGGTTCAGCTGGGCAGCAGGGCCAATTGGCAGCTGCAGTGTTAACACCAAACCAATCAAGGATCTCTTGTCTCAGCAATGAAGATGATGGTGGCCAACAGCAATGTCACTGGACCGGATCACCCACTACTGTTAGAGCTGCAGCAGTGATAGTACAACAGTGGGAAGCTTTACGATGGTCAGTAAAGACCCAGCCATTGTGAACACAACTTATGCTCACAACAGAAGTTGCTTTCAAGTTCCATCTGTCTGCTCCAGATGGGCTCAGCTAAAGGTCTGTTATTGTGATTCACCACTTCACCTCTAACGATTTCATTCCAGGCACTGCTATTCAAATTATTTTCCCTCTGCCTTGTAAATGGCAGAGTGTTACAGAATCCTTGACCTTTTTAATTTCAAATAAATAATACAATCCAAAAGGAAACAATGAACCATAAGCACTGTGCACACTCCTATTATGCCTGGAGAGACAGGGCTGAGCTGCTATTCAGAAGGTACCCTTTTGGCCTCTCATCTTATTCACAGTGAAAGATGTAAAGCACCTCTCACTAGCACTCCAGTATCTCAGCAGTTAGAGAGAAGTTTTCCCAGTTTGCTTTTAAAGCAACTATGTGATGCTGAATAATACTATGGGAAGGCAAACTCCAAAGCCAGTATAAGCAGAGAACAGGATCTGTGAAGACAGTCTCCACATATTCTATGTAGACCTTGTACATGATAGTTACCATTATTCAAGGAATGTCAGCAAGATGAAGCTTATTCAGTTGCAAATGAAACATCAACACCCTTATCACCTCCAGTGAGCTGAACTCACACAGGCTTGAATGATGTGTTACAGAAGTTACTGTAGAGTCAGCCACAATTCTGAACCAAATCTGTGGCAGAGAGGGATGCATGATTTCAAGGACAATATTACAGCTCAGAGGGCCATAAAACAGTTGTGGAACAATGGTCATCTCCCTGTGAAGCTTCTTATTAGGAAGCAGCATAACACAATTATATCAAGAACTCAAATGTTTCCCCAAGCCTGTTCCTGTTCATTGCTCTACAGAATAATCACAGGTTTCCCATTAATTAGACATTGCTTTCCTGTCACTACATGCTTTCAACTTTATTTCCATCATCAGCTCTTTACAACCTTAAAATATATTCACAGCCAAAGCCCAAGTAAAACAGGTAATGGTAACAGAAATAATGTATATAGATTTTCTGTCAGATGGTGGAAAATAGCAACTTGACTAGTCACGGATGATCCTGCCTAGAACATGGGCCTGGAATAGATGATCTCATGAGCTCCCTTCTAGCCCTACATTCCTATGATCCTGTGAACCTCAGTGGAAGCTGTCTTTGTTAAACTAAATGCACTACTACAGTGGAAACCCAAAGTGGCAAAAACTAATGGGCTTATGACATTAGCCTCAACTCCTCTTCTCCACCCTCCCCTGTGTTTCTTTCACAGGTATCTTCATGGTTACTTCTATACTGTGCCTTTGCTATGAGATGCCTGCACCAAACACATCCATGAAGCCACTGCACAAACTCAGACAAGCACTTGGATGAAATGGTTTAGTGACAGATGATCCTGCTCCGAATAAGAACTAGATGACCAGGGCGTTCCTGGACAACGACCCACACATCACGACGAGGGACATGCTCAGTTGGGATGGGCTTCACCTGTCCCCCAAAGGTAAGCATGTGTTTTCTTCTAGGTTGGCGGATCTCCTCCGGTGGGCTTTAAACTAGGCTCGCCGGGGGGAAGGGAAGATGGGGGGGGGGAAGCTGTGGACCACCAAACCATGCGGCACCCACAAGGACAGCCCAGCCTGAAGAAAGAGAACATTGGGAACCTGCAAGACGTGGGGCGGCCAGCACTACAGCACAGGTAAGAAATGAGAAGGTAAGAAATAAGGGGCCCCTTGGGACTCGGAGCGGGGGGGCAGCAAAGGCACCTGTCGCAGGGCTCAAGTGCCTATATACTAATGCTAGGAGCATGGGGAAAAAGCAGGATGAACTAGCGCTCCTGCTTGCACAAAACACCTACAACTTAGTAGGGCTAACGGAAACCTGGTGGGATTCGTCCCACGACTGGGCGGTACATATTGAGGGTTATAGATTGTACAGAAAGGACAGGGTGGGGAAAAAAGGGGGAGGGGTTGCAATCTATGTCAATAAGCAATATACGTCAACCCTAACCAAGACGGAATCGAAGGATAAGGAAGTAGAAGGATTGTGGGTTAGGTTACATGGGGGTCAAGGAGAAAGGGATTTGGTGGTAGGGGTCTGCTACAGACCCCCACACCAAGGGGAAGA